AACCTAGACTTAGGCATGTTACTGAAAAGTCTGAGCATTTTCTCAGTTTCTTACTTGATTTAATGATGGAGACCAGGTAATAAATAGCATACGTAATCAGCCAGAACCACGTAAAAAGGACCTGGTTCACAACTGGAGACATGAGATAGCTCAGTCGTGATTCGTTTTTAGTATATTCCGTCATACATCTGGGCTAGTAGATCATCTTTTTCTTAAATACCGATTTGTAAAGTTGATTTATCACTGAGCATTCAAGTCATTGCCGAGAGCAGCGAGGGGAAAATGCACATCACCACAGGCAAGTATTCTAACTCTTCTTTTTTTTTTTTTCTCCCCCCCCCCCTTTACAGGCTGCAAAATACAAGCTGGCAGCTCTGCCCGTGGCAGGTGCAGTCATTGGTGGAGTGGTGGGGGGTCCTATTGGTCTCCTTGCAGGCTTCAAAGTGGCAGGAATTGCAGCTGCAGTTGGTGGTGGGATTTTGGGTTTCACAGGTGGAAAATTGATACAAAGAAGAAAACAAAAAAGGATTGAGCAAGTCTCTTCCAGCTGCCCAGAGCTTTCTCGCCAAAGTGCCAAAAAATCCAGCTGAAGTATAGTTTCATTACAACTAGGAACAAAAGTGAAGTAGCCACGCTAATGAAAGACTTGCAGCCTTATGCTTCAAATACAAGGCTGAGTTGTGTGAATTTTGACAACAGGACTGTTACTCGGGAGGGGTGAAGCAGTAACGTCAGAATTTCTCTTTTCAGATGTGGTGACGTCAGTCCTTTCAAAATTATATGGATAACTTTTAATTAGAAAACTCTTAGGTGAGCTACATGCACGGCTGTAATGATGGGTGACCGGTGCTTCATGCCAAATTTGCACAAAGTGTCTTGCAGACAATACAGAGAGAGATTTGGAAAACCCTAGTGCTTTCCCATGAATGCCACCCAGAAGCCAGAGCTTTTATTGTAGTGCTGCAAAGAAAAGGAAATAAGCTCTGTCTTTCATGGTCATAGTACTTTAAATTTACTTGCATTTATCTGGATTCCCCAACTCCTCCTGTGTATACCCATACACCCAGGGTACGACTTGACTACGCCCGTTCAGCAACACACAGGGAAGCGTTAGCTGCTGTAAGAGAAGGTGAAAATGTTGCACGAGCAATGCGGAAAAAACCCTTATGTGTATCCCACATCTGCCTCCATCAGCCACATCAGATCAGCATCATGAGCAGCTTTTCCCCTTTTTCAAGTACTTTTTTTTTTTTTTAAATTTGTAAACTCCTCATCTTGTGCAAAGTGTAGTTAAGAATTAAACAGTCTAAGCAGCAACCCTGCAGGACTGCTACCGAAGAAGAATTTTCCATGGCTGTTCAACTCCTTGGCTTGTCCCGAGAAGCCCATACAGAATGAAGTCACGCTCTTGGCATTTTGAGCTTGAAGCCGCAGCTTACTTAAGCAGCGTTTACTGCTAGTTGTTACTCTTACCATCCTGATTTTGCTGCTTAAGAAGCCTTTCGCTTCTGAAACTTCCATTGTTAAATACAGAAGTGTTAATGTGTTTTTATTGTCACATAATTGTACTGGTGTCACGTAATCTACTGTTCAGCACATGGTCCTACCTCCATCCTCCCCGGACAGTTCCCACACTATTGCTGCTACTGCTTGGGAGAACGGGAATTGAGGTTGGGAAGCTGCGTTTTAAAGTTTTTAGATTCTTCAGTTCATCCTGAGCTCTGCTTGAGTCCAGTTTTATTAGGCAAACACTGAAGTCAGTGTTTCGCGATAAGGCTCCCTAGCAGGGAACGCTGTATAAGGAAGCATACTATAGAAAGAGCTCCCTTTTTGTAACCAATACTTTGATATCATCATCGGAAATAACTGTCTACTAATGACAGATGATAGGTTTTTGTGCCTAGAGACACTGTAAGCAAGTGTTAGTTACAGCACAAATATCTTTCTCTGAACAGTTCTTCCTTATTACTTTTAAAATGTGATTGAAATTGCTCTCAGTCAGAACATCGTGTCTATTTTAAGTAGGTCTGAGGCTCAGGGAAGCAACGTGCAAGAATAGTTTTCACAAGTAATTGCAAACATTGTCAAAACCGCATGTGTTAAAGCCACAGTGCCTACATCTGTAAAATCAGCTGGAGTGGAAAACATGAGCGAAATAATTCAGCTCATTTGCTCCTGTCAGGCCAAAAGCGCTTTTCTTTAAATGCGTCTATGTTGGATGTAAACACATTTAATGAGCTTATAAACAGCTTCATATTAAGGCTATTCATTCCTTTGATACACAATTTCTACATTTAAAGGAAGAAACTAAGAAAAAAAGTGTTCTTAGTTAGAAACTGTGGTTGATTCTTTGTATGATTTTAAAAAGCTATGTCTGCTTCCCTACTGTATGCTTCGAAACCTTGTGCATTTAAATGACAGCAACCACATCAGAGAGAGCGCTGACTCCACCCTCTCCCCCCCAAGCTGGACTAATGCCAGGACAATCTAAATTCATAAAACTGAATTCTTGCCACAGCTTATACAAATTCAGCTTGGTGTGCACTCATTTTATGAAACCTCTAGCACAAAAAACTCTTCTTCCTCCTTGCGTCTTTAAGGAAGCAATTTTAAAACACTATACACACTAGACTTGGGAGATTATTATTTAAGCTATGATTTTTTTTTTTTAAATAGGTGGGTTATTTACATATGTGAAGAAACGTGGGCATCTGAGTAACCAAACTAGCATTTACATTGCTAGGCATGTTAGTCAGAAGAAATGTAAGGTATAAATAATTCTTTCAAACCAAATAAAAGTTTTTGCCTATGAGACTGGTTGTAGCATTTACTGGGAACGTTGGCGTTGATCTCCTTTCAGCATCTAAAAGATTAATCCCGTACAAATTTTACATTATTAAAATAATTGCATTACCAAGATATAAGAATCCTGTATTGAGTTACCAAACACAGGCTTCAGCTATTATTTACTTTGACTGAAATTAACACTAATTCCTAAACACTAATTCCTACATTGCATGCATCCAGTAACTTGTACACATAGACTAGCTCAGAAATGGACTCCTTAAGTTGAATTAAAAAGAGAATTTCGAATGGTTTTGTTCCATATGGGGATAACACTAATATTTTTGACAACTTCCCATGAAAGCCTCAAGCAGTGTTGAAGGGAGGGGTTAGCTGAGCACCACATGGTTAAAACCATCAACGTAGGTAGAGCTGAAGGCCTCAATTTGAAACACATCTTGCATTTTGTCCAGCACTTGCTCTCTCTGAGCAAATTCTCTGTATTGTCAGATACTTAAAAGCTCAAGTGATACTCAACATCACGTTAGGCAAGCACTCCCAGACTTCAGCCGTTCACCCCTCCGCTCACAAATAGAAACATCACTTGCAAGTTGGCACAGCCAGGTCAGTGGTCATCAAGAACCCAGGAGAATCGGGTCCAACTCCAATGAATACACAATGCAATGACTTGAGCGCGTAACTGTCGTAAAACTGTTACATCTGATTGTCTACCTCGTGCTGGGATGCCAAAGCTCTGGGAATGAGTCCTTACTCAGAAAAGCAAACTTGGATTAAGGAATGGTGGAGGGGGTTTCATCTCTCTCACTTTCTAGCTGAAAGCACCAGCCACTGGACTGTTGGGTGTATGATGAGGTAGCATTTCACTCCAGAAAGAGAAGTTTAGATGTCTTCCACCAAACGGCATTTATAAATAAGAATCCCAAGGAAAAATAGGAACCTCAGGAGTAAGATGAATACTTGTAGGCACCATGCAGGTGCCTGAACAACTCAGAAGTTCTGTAGCACCACCTGTAGATACCAAATGGCAGCCTTAAAACCATACCCTGCTCACAGCTTTAGATTCCAACTGGAAGGTGGTATGACTCAGCTGCCAAAAATGCTTCATTTGGCATGAGATGGAGAATGGGACAGGAGACGACCTGGCTTTCCAGCACTTCATGTGCATTCCAAAATGCAGATTCACAAAACCAACAAAAAAGTACACCTGTCAACAAAATCTTGCAGTACTCTCAGCGCTACCAATTCTGCATCTGCTCAGCTGTAGCTTAGCGTTAGTTGGTCCTAGCAACTCTCTCCTCAGAATCGTCTCCTAGAAAGCTCATGTGCCTGTTGCTGCAAGGGCTTGGTTCAGCA